CAGACCACCACCAGATAATGACCACAGACCAGGTTTCCTTAGTTACAGGAACCAAATTGTTTCAGCGGTGAGGGGATTTTTCAGTTTCAAGGACACTTTCAATACATTCAGTAGTTTCAAGGATTTCAACTGTTTAAGAATTTAACCAGTTTCAAGGATATCAGGAGGTTCAAGGATTTCAGGAGTTTCCACACTTTCAACAGTTTCCAGGTTTAAAAAAGTTTCAAGGATTTCAGGAGTTTCAATGTTTCAACAGTTTCAAGGATTTCAGGAGTTTAAAGGTTTCAACAATTTCAAGGACTTCAGGAGTTTCAAATATCTATCAAGTATTTTAACAGTTTCAAGGCCTTTTAAAGGATTTCAAGGATTTTTTTTAGCAGATTTCCACATTAGATCTGTTCCGCAGTCAATCGCAATGGCTTCAGCCATTGCAAGTTTCTAGTTTTTTTTGACACGTTTCACAGCTTTCACATTTTCAACAATTTCCACAAGTTATACATCAAAACGTTCCACATGTTTGGGAGATTATTGCTATTACTTTTGGGACTTCAGCGATTTCCGGTTTTTCCGCAATCGGACAAAAATCTGCATTGAGAATTCTGCAATGCATTTTAATAGGCCCATGCATTTTAATAGGACTTCAGCTCTTTCAGACATTTCTACAGTTTCAATGATTCAACAGTTTCAAGGATTCAACAGTTTCAAGGATTTCAGCAGTTTCAAGATTTCAAGAGTTTCAAGGACTTCAACAGTTTCAAGGACTTCAGCAGTTTCAAGGACTTCAGCAGTTTCAAGGACTTCAGCAGTTTCAAGGACTTCAGTGTAATCATGCAACCTAATAGGGATTTTTCCATGTAAACCAGTATAATGCAACTTAATAGGGATTTTTCCATGTAAACCAGTATAATGCAACTTAATAGGGTTTTTTCATGTAAACCAGTATAATGCAACTTAATAGGGTTTTTTTTCATGTAAACCAGTATAATGCAACTTAATAGGGTTTTTTCATGTAAACCAGTATAATGCAACTTAATGGGGATTTTTCCATGTAAACCAGTATAATGCAACTTAATAGGGGTTTTTACATGTAAACCAGTATAATGCAACTTAATAGGGTTTTTTCCATGTAAACCAGTATAATGCAACTTAATAGGGTTTTTTCCATGTAAACCAGTACAATGCAACTTAATAGGGATTTTTCCATGTAAACCAGTATAATGCAACTTAATGGGGATTTTTCCATGTAAACCAGTATAATGCAACTTAATGGGGATTTTTCCATGTAAACCAGTATTATGCAACTTAATAGGGATTTTTCCATGTAAACCAGTATAATGCAACTTAATAGGGATTTTTCCATGTAAACCAGTATAATGCAACTTAATAGGGATTTTTCCATGTAAACCAGTATAATGCAACTTAATAGGGATTTTTCCATGTAAACCAGTATAATGCAACTTAATAGGGTTTTTTTCATGTAAACCAGTATAATGCCACTTAATAGGGTTTTTTTCATGTAAACCAGTATAATGCAACTTAATGGGGATTTTTCCATGTAAACCAGTATAATGCAACTTAATATGGGTTTTTACATGTAAACCAGTATAATGCAACTTAATAGGTTTTTTTTTTTACATGTAAACCAGTATAATGGAACTTAATAGGGTTTTTTACATGTAAACCAGTATAATGGAACTTAATAGGGGTTTTTACATGTAAACCAGTATAATGGAACTTAATAGGGGTTTTTACATGTAAACCAGTATAATGCAACTTAATAGGGATTTTTACATGTAAACCAGTATAATGCAACTTAATAGGGATTTTTCCATGTAAACCAGTATAATGCAACTTAATAGGGTTTTTTACATGTAAACCAGTATAATGCAACTTAATGGGGATTTTTCCATGTAAACCAGTATAATGCAACTTAATAGGGGTTTTTACATGTAAACCAGTATAAAGGATAACAGTTTAAAGGATATCAAGAGCTTCAAATACTTCAGGAGTTTCAAAGATGTTTAAAGTATTTTAACAGTTTCAAGGATTTCAAGGATTTTTCAGCTAAATTCCACATTAGATCTGTTCCGCAGTCAATCGCAATGGCTTCAGCCATTGCAAGTTTCTAGTTATTATTATTATTATTAAAAAGGCTGGGATTAAATAAGTGTGTAATGACACTTGTCTTTTAGTATTTTATTTTGGTGAAGTTTCCAAACTCTTCATTTCCCAAATGAAAATAAGATTAAAACATTCAAACTAATGTTTAGAACTAAAACAGGTTTTAGTTGAATAAACACAGACATAAAATCTCAGAAGGAGTTAAATGTTACCGTGGTAACGGATCAACCTCAGGCCCAGGGGCCACTACGGCCCCCAGACCAGTGTGAGAGGCCCCTGAGGCCCCAGACCAGTGTTAGAGGCCCCTGAGGCCCCAGACCAGTGTGAGAGGCCCCTGAGGCCCCAGACCAGTGTGAGAGGCCCCTGAGGCCCCAGACCAGTGTGAGAGGCCCCTGAGGCCCCAGACCAGTGTGAGAGGCCCCTGAGGCCCCAGACCAGTGTGAGAGGCCCCTGAGGCCCCAGACCAGTGTGAGAGGCCCCTGAGGGCCCAGACCAGTGTGAGAGGCCCCTGAGGCCCCAGACCAGTGTGAGAGGCCCCTGAGGCCCCAGACCAGTGTGAGAGGCCCCTGAGGCCCCAGACCAGTGTGAGAGGCCCCTGAGGGCCCAGACCAGTGTGAGAGGCCCCTGAGGGCCCAGACCAGTGTGAGAGGCCCCTGAGGCTCCAGACCAGTGTGAGAGGCCCCTGAGGCCCCAGACCAGTGTGAGAGGCCCCTGAGGCCCCAGACCAGTGTGAGAGGCCCCTGAGGGCCCAGACCAGTGAGAGGCCCCAGACCAGTGAGAGGCCCCAGACCAGTGTTAGAGGCCCCAGACCAGTGTGAGAGGCCCCTGAGGCCCCAGACCAGTGTGAGAGGCCCCTGAGGGCCCAGACCAGTGTGAGAGGCCCCCAGACCAGCAGGTGGTTCTGACTGAGGCCTGTTATATTTACATTGTGTGTGTTTTATGGATTGTAACATTGTAACCAAACACATCAGAGGTGAAAGAGTTAAATATAAACAATGTGTTTAACTTAATACTTTATATTTGTCCAGTTTTGGTTCAATCTGTTTTCCAAAAATAACAGTTTTCCAAAAATAACAGGGCCTCGACCTGAAAGTCTCCTGCTTCAGAGGCAGGTTTATGTCACCAGGAAATATCTGACGTTTATTTTCGGTTTCATGAAATCTGTCATTTATAAAACATTAAAGAAACAAATGAACATTTTAACCACTGAGCGTCTGAGTTACAAACTGAAGAGTAAAAGTCTGTGACGTCTCAGATTCTGCACAGTTCACACAGAAACAAACGTTAAAACCATCAGGCCTCTGTCTGAGGCCTGTCTCACTGCTTAAAGAAGAATGTCCCAGAGTTTAGTCCCTGTGCTCCTCAGAGTCCCAGCAGGAGGCCAGTCCCTGTGCTCCTCGAGTCCCAGCAGGAGGCCAGTCCCTGTGCTCCTCAGAGTCCCAGCAGGAGGCCAGTCCCTGTGCTCCTCAGAGTCCCAGCAGGAGGCCAGTCCCTGTGCTCCTCAGAGTCCCAGCATCAGGCCAGTCCCTGTGCTCCTCAGAGTCCCAGCATCAGGCCAGTCCCTGTGCTCCTCAGAGTCCCAGCAGGAGGCCAGTCCCTGTGCTCCCAGAGTTGGTCCATATGGCTCTAACATGTCACAGATGGAGAGACTTGTTTAAAGTCCATCCTCTGAGCCACAGAGACCTGAGACCAAGCCCCGGCGTTCCAAGATGGCGTCCTATTCAAACGAATGTCTTGTGCTCAGTGGCGCCCTCCCGTGGGCACCGAAAGATTAGCGGAACTCGCCCATATTTGGGCATCGTCTGGTCCTCCCGGTTCTGCTCAGTGAACAAGCTCCCATGAAGCCAAATATGGGTGTGTGGTTCTCATGCATGTGCACAGAGGGGCTCGGCCGCGCTCTGACCAATCAGAGGGCAGCGTTCTGACCAATCAGAGCTACTCAGCAGAGCGGCGTTAGAGCGGGAAGGAAAGGAGCAGTAAAGTGTGGACTTAAACAAAACTGAAGGATTTAAGAAGACAAAAATTTCAGGACAACAAGGGACACTAAAATCCCCACAAAATCTGACCTTTCTGAAAACTGTAGGTTCTCTGTCAGGTTCTCTGTCAGCTGAGGTCAAGCTGGGGCGACAGTAGCTCAGTTGGTAGAGCATTGGCCTTTGGGCCTGAAGGTCGTGGGTTCGAGCCCACCGTAAGACCTACTTCATGACTCTCACTGATGACTGCTGTCGTTGTGTCATTAGGCAAGACACTTAACCCCACTTTGCCTGAAGCTCCCACTGAAAGATCTCAGCTCCTGTGGACTCACCACCTGCAGGAGGATCAGTGAGGGGCTGGTGCTCTGTGTACTGGGTGGCATCTCTGGCCACCCCCCCGACCCAGAAATGGATTAAGGGGAAGAAAATGAATGGATGGATAGTCTGCAGTACCGCGAGGATCCCCCGAGCACACGGTCCTTCAGCTCCAAGCTAGTAATACCCTCTCCAGTTATTATAATAGATCCATGCCTGAGACCAGGACTAATGTGATGGTACTTCCCGATTCTAGTCTGTGATGGTACTTCCTTATTCTAGTCTGTGATGGTACTTCCTGATTCTAGTCTGTAATGGTACTTCCTGATTCTAGTCTGTGATGGTACTTCCTGATTCTAGTCTGTAATGGTACTTCCTGATTCTAGTCTGTGATGGTACTTCCTGTTCCTGGTCTTAAACAGAAAGTAAAAAAATCTGTGTCCATTTTGTTTGTAACGTCTCCTTTTATTTTCAATCTGCACTTGAATAATAAATTGTTGTCTGCAATTATCCAGAATGTTGTTATGGTTGTGTGTCTGTTGTAATGGTTGTGTGTCTGTTGTAATGGTTGTGTGTCTGTTGTGTGTCCAGAGTGTCGCAGAACCAGGTGGGACAGAACTTCACCTTCGTTCTCACGGACATCGACGGGAAACAGCGGTTTGGGTTCTGTCGCCTCACACAGGGCTGTAGGCTGTGTGTGTGTCTGCTCAGGTAATACACAGACACACACACACACACACACACACAGGGCTGTAGGCTCTGTGTGTGTCTGTTCAGGTAATACACAGACACACACACACACAGGGCTGTAGGCTGTGTGTGTGTCTGCTCAGGTAATACACAGACTCACACACACACACACACACACAGGGCTGTAGGCTCTGTGTGTGTCTGCTCAGGTAATACACACACTCACATACACACACAGAACTGTAGGCTGTGTACTATATGCCGCACCTGTGTATAAACCGCACCTGTGTATAAACCACACCTTTGTATAAGCCACACCTGTGTGTAAGGTCACACCTGTGTATAATGTCACACCTGTGTGTAAGGTCACACCTGTGTGTAAGGTCACACCTGTGTATAATGTCACACCTGTTTATACGGTCACACCTGTGTATTAGCCGCACGTGTATAAGCTGCACCTGTGTATTAGCCGCACCTGTGTATTAGCCGCACATGTATATAAGGTTGCACCTGTGTATAAGGTTGCACCTGTGTATAAGGTCGCACCTGTGTATAAGTCACACCTGTGTAAAAGGTCACACTTGTGTATTAGTCACACCTGTGTAAAAGGTCACACTTGTGTATAAGCCCGCACCTGTGTATAAGGTCACACCTGTTTATACGGTCACACCTGTGTATACGCCACACCTGTGTATTAGCCGCATGTGTATAAGCCACACCTGTGTATTAGCCGCACATGTGTATAAGCCGCACCTGTGTATAAGGTCGCACCTGTGTATTAGGTCACATCTATGTATAAGGTCACACCTGTGTACAAGCCACACCTGTGTATAAGGTCACACCTGTGTATAAGGTCACACCTGTGTATAAGGTCACACCTGTGTATAAGCCACACCTGTGTATAAGGTCATACCTGTGTATAAGCCACACCTGTGTATAAGGTCACACCTGTGTATAAGCCACACCTGTGTATAAGCCAGACCTGTGTATAAGGTCACACCTGTGTATAAGCCACACCAGTGTATAAGGTCACACCTGTGTATAAGCCACACCTGTGTATAAGGTCACACCTGTGTATAAGCCACACCTGTGTATAAGGTTTCACTTGTGTATAAGCCACACCTGTGTATAAGGTCACACCTGTGTATAAGCCACACCTGTGTATAAGGTCAAACCTGTGTATAAGCCACGAGCCACGTGTATTTTTGGATTTAGAAAGACATCATCAAAAACCCCAGTGACCTGTAGAGTGTTACACTAGCTTAGCTTGCCTGGGTCCGACCAATCAGAGAGCGGGGGAGGCGGGTGTTGTAGGTCGGTGTCGGTGACGTCAAGAGTTTGTGCTGAATTTGCTGGTTGTAGTTTGTCGGAGAATGCGATAGTAAAATAATCTGTTCTGGTTCAATCCAAATAGCGAACTATCTGAATGACGTCACTAAGACACGCCCCCGCCGCCTGTCAGGTCCCGCCCACATGTTTCGGACAAACACTGCCCAAATGAATCAAATACCACTTGTCACTTTAGACAAAAATGAAATACCAGGAGCAAAATTCCACCATCAAACCATCAGGACCATTGTGTAGACCAGTTAAAACGTTAGCTTGAATGTCGTGGTCTGTAACTGGTAGAAAGTTTGAGTTGATAAAAAGGTAATTGTGCGTGAACGAGTTCAAAAGAACACGCTCATTTTTTCGTGAACGTTGAACTGAACGCAACACATTTTTAAAAAAAGAACTTGAACATTTTATGTGTCATGAACGGCAGACATCACTATGAACGTTGGAATCTGTTTTCTCTTTTGAAACGCAACGAGAGATAGTTCCTCCCTCCTGTATTCTCGCACTTTTTCCGCCGAAATCTAAAAATTCCTACGGTTTCCACCGTCTGTGAACGCACCCCGACTCTGTGTTGCGGTGCGGCGCTGTGAGCTGGTGCTTTTCACATGTGCCCGAGTTATGCTAACATTATCCTGTCATTTAAATTGTTTTTTGTACTGTCCACTTTGTAATGATCATTAGTTAGTTACTGTCAGCTGATATTATATATATTATATATTATAATAGATCCATGGGTCACACGGGCTACACTACTGTCTCTGAGAGAAACTATCAGAGCCACACTCAGTAAACACTAATGACAATCGACACATGTAAATGTTAATGGGAGAATATATTATACATACAGTCGTAACACACGTGCACGGAGGTTTTCAGAAGTATCTTTAAGGTTTTCATGACAAAAATACTTTTTTAATGCGACTAAAGCGATCGCTTTTTTGAAGTAGGTGAACCAGCCTCACTGTTACTCGCCTGCCACGGGAAAACCTTTGGACTATTTTTTTTGCAGTCATTAAATAAACCTTTCTGCATTAATAGTGACTAAAGTTTATTTTGTGTGTTCAGTTCGTACAAAGCCATATAATAAGCGGACCCCGACGTGCTTCGTCTGTACTTAATTTCCGATAGTCACGAAGTTGAAAAAAAGGTGTGAGAATTGTAAACTTTCTGGATTAGGACAAACTATACTAATATGGACTGATGGGGTAAATGGTATAAAGAGAAAGTCTGTGCTAACTACATTCAGAAGAGCTCAGACGGACCTGATCCAGACGGTCCAGGTCCAGGTCCAGTCCCAGCTAAACGTAGCTAGCACTGGACCTGGATGCTCCACAGTTGGGACTGGTTTAACAAACGGGTTGAATGTTACTTTAATATAGTCCTTTTCAGAGTATCTTAAATCGCTCCGACAAGCACCAGAACTGCAGTGTTTTGTTGTCACCATGATTCAATGATTTAGCCCGAGTATGTGGGCACGCGTATGTGGAGAACACAGTAGTACTCAACGGAGTCGGACAGAGTTTGTCCGAAACATGCGCAGTCATCGGAGCTATTTTTAGCACATTTCTGAAACCGGACAGTGCCCTTTATCAAGAAACTGAAGCCGGAGCAAGAGGAATGTTTAGAAAATGTCTTTGAAGCAAAGATGTTGTGGCTCTACTCCCCACGAGCTCTGTTAGTGACAAAGGAGATGGCTAAAGCTAGGCTACATGCTAAAGCTAGGCTAATGCTATAGCTAGGCTAATGCTATAGCTAGGCTAATGCTAAAGCTAGGCTAAATGCTAAATGCCTCACTCACTCGGGCTCATTACATACGTCACAGTAAACTCAGATCCAATGGTTTCAATCTGTAAAAGGAGTTTGCCCCTCCCACCTGTTAACGGGGTCAACGGAGACAATCCAGACCTTAGTATGAAATGAAATGAGTACCATGGTGCGGTAAGACCAGGCTAATGTAACACCAGTGTTGGACCACTTTCCTTCAAAAACACATCACTTTGTCCATTTTGGAGCCAAGAACACGGAGGTTAAGCTGTATTCCTAATAACAGCACATGGAAACGCAGCAGCTGTAATAATCTCCATATTCATGTAGACGGCCGCGGTGACACACGCCGTCGCTCCCGTGTTTCCGTGTTTAACCCTTGTTTCTCTGCAGCTAACAAAGCTTTAATTCATATGTGTGTGTACGTCGTGCTCTCGCGCCTCCACTTCATTATTCACGCCGATGAAAGATACATGCGAGGACCCCCACCCCCCGATCAAAACTCAATATCTCTCCAAACGACCCCACGGTTTTTAATATTATTATTTGATTGCATAACATTAAAAAGCAAACGCGGCTTCTATGGCGTGTGCGGAGCCTTGGCCGGAGTCCACGCCGATCATCACGCCAAGAAACTGTCGGGTTCAGTTACGGAAGCAGCTGCCGGTGACTTATGATGCGAGGAGTTGTGCACAAACAAAGTGGGCTGGATGAATATCTAATGTTGTTTCTTTATTTTTACATGGCCTGGCAGCAGGAGAAAGCCTTTGTGTTGGCAGAGGAAGGCGAGGCAGCGGGGAAAAGCACGGAATATTGTTGAATGAGATGTTAGCGAGTGTGGGACGAGCAGACGGTTTATTTTTCAGTCCCACGACTCTCTGGTCTCTCTCTGGTCTCTCTCTCTGGTCTCTCTCTCTGGTCTCTCTCTCTGGTCTCTCTCTCTGGTCTCTCTCTGGTCTCTCTGGTCTCTCTCTGGTCTCTCTCTGGTCTCTCTCTCTGGTCTCTCTCTGTGGTCTCTCTCTGGTCTCTCTGTGGTCTCTCTCTGGTTTCTCTCTGGTCTCTCTCTCTGGTCTCTCTCTCTGGTCTCTCTCTCTGGTCTCTCTCTGGTCTCTCTCTCTGGTCTCTCTCTGGTATCTCTCTCTGGTCTCTCTCTGGTCTCTCTCTGGTCTCTCTCTGGTCTCTCTCTGGTCTCTCTCTGGTCTCTCTCTGGTCTCTCTCTGGTCTCTCTCTGGTCTCTCTCTGGTATCTCTCTGGTCTCTCTCTGGTCTCTCTCTCTGGTCTCTCTCTGGTCTCTCTCTCTGGTCTCTCTCTGGTCTCTCTCTGGTCTCTCTCTCTGGTCTCTCTCTGGTCTCTCTCTGGTCTCTCTCTGGTCTCTCTCTGGTCTCTCTCTCTGGTCTCTCTCTGGTCTCTCTCTGGTCTCTCCCTGGTCTCTCTCTGGTCTCTCTCTCTGGTCCCTCTCTGGTCTCTCTCTGGTCTCTCTCTGGTCCCTCTCTGGTCCCTCTCTGGTCTCTCTCTGGTCTCTCTCTGGTCTCTCTCTGGTCTCTCTCTGGTCTCTCTCTGGTCCCTCTCTGGTCTCTCTCTGGTCCGTCTCTGGTCTCTCTCTCTGGCCTCTCTCTGGCCTCTCTCTGGCCTTGCTCTGGTCTCGCTCTCTGGTCTCGCTCTCTGGTCTCGCTCTCTGGTCTCTCTCTCTGGTCTCTCTCTCTGGTCTCTCTCTGGTCTCTCTCTCTGGTCTCTCTCTGGTCTCTCTCTGGTCTCTCTCTGGTCTCGCTCTGGTCTCGCTCTCTGGTCTCGCTCTCTGGTCTCGCTCTGGTCTCTATCTCTGGTCTCTCTCTGGTCTCTATCTCTGGTCTCTCTCTGGTCTCTATCTCTGGTCTCTCTCTGGTCTCTCTCTGGTCTCTCTCTGGTCTCTATCTCTGGTC